GTAACTATACAAGGTATCTGAAGCAATTTCTGAATCGCTGTCCAAACCTGGTGCCCTCCCCACCACAGATGATGAAGAACATCTACCATGAGCAGAAAATTATGGCTGCAATGGGGAAGTGGCAGTCCTAAAGATGTGGCTGAATGAAGCTCCCACCAGCTTTAGCCAGGAGGGTCAGTAGTGGATGCTGAGAATTGTGTTCAGTACACAGTCCCAGCCCTAGTTCTTCAGTAATTATGGGTCCCATGGTAGATTTTTGGTTAGACAATCTCATAGTAGGTAGGAAGTTTCAGACAGCCTTTTGTGCTTCTTTAGAGGTTGTTCCCTCAACTGCAAAGGGCCTCCACTGATCATGCCTAGGATCACAATATAAGTGGGCCTTATATTGAAAATAGTAATATTGAAAAAATCCAGCTGTTGAAGGCCAACACATCTGGAGAATATGAGGTTGGGGAAGGCTGCTGGCTGTAAAGAGGGTTATGGGAGTTGTAGTCCAACATACATGGTGGGGTAGACTGGAGAAAACTGTCTTGGAGAAGAAGAGGAATGTAAAGGATGAAGCTGGTGAGGTGGGTACCAGCAGTGTTCAGCCCAGACAGAACGGAGAAGAGAAGTCGGCATACCTTTGGCTGCAGCAAAGCCTTGAAGGGAATGGCAAAGGACCATTGACTAGGAGACAGGGAGGAAAATGCTTAAGACTGAAACCCAGGGTGTTGATGGTGGCCAACTGTTGTAGGCAGATCTCCTATGGATGGGTGTTTCTGTCTTGCCTGCAATAAAGCAACTAATCTGGGAAGCTACTTCTGTTACTGAATGCAGGGCTGAATTTCTGGAGAGTAAATGTTTTTTGCCATGCCTGGTGAAGACTGGCAAGGAGGAGAAGGAAGAGGAGGAGGCAGAGAACCTCCTTGGGGTATACAAATTCAGGTTCTCACCCTGCATACTTGAAGAACAGCCCACTTCCAGGACTCTGGGCTAGATGGACCTCTCCTGAGCATGCCAGGGACTGCCTTCACAAGACTTGCAGAACCACAAATAATTGGGCCATATCTTAAATTAATCTCCCATGTAGATAGGGTTTAAAGTGCCCTGAGGGAGTCCCCTCCCTCATACATGCATTAAATAAGTCCTGGTTACTACTTTACAGCAAGTATGAGTCAGTTTCCTCTACTTGATTCAGGAATAAATCTAACATTAAAATAAAGAGCCCTGCTGGCACCAACATTCAGCTCAAGATGAACAACTGGCTAAAAAAAATGACTGTTATTTGGAGGGGCCGAAAGTTTCACCACGCTACGTGATTCTCTAACAGAAGCCCACCCGCGCCTTTCCTCGTGGTCACCCCGCATTGAGATGGGAAGGTTATGACCCCAGCTGACCTCAGCAAGCCAAGGCTGGCGATTCTGGGGATGGGTCTATCTTTACACCAGAGTCACTGATGTCCCTCCTCGGAGGAGACACCTTCTGAAAGGAATAGCACCATTGGACTCTTACAAGCTGATTTGATAAAAGCCTCTGAAGATCCACAGCTTCCAGGAAATAGGTGCAGGAGCACACCAGAAAGTAGAAGATATCCCGTGCCAACTAGATTTTTCCTCCTATTGACTCCAAAATAAGACACAAATACAGCATTATACTATGGCATCCATTAAGAATATGGTCATCGCCTTTGAAATGAAACTTTAGTTCATTTCACAGAAATTTCCCTGCCTTTAAAAATAATGGGAATAAACTTGGGAATACATTATTGAAATCCGGAGAAATTGCCCCAAAGACTCCCTTGTTACAATATTCCTGCACTGAGCCATTTCAGCCTTGATCTGTTACCCTCACGATTAGCCCCATTTTGTGGATAGGAAAACTGATGATGAGCATCAGAGGCTTGTCCAATGTCATGCCTGTAGGAAAGAAAATCTTATTTCAGTTGTGACCCCTTTCTACCTCCAGCCCGCATATCCTGCTATGTGTTTGTGCAGTTTGCATCTCTCTCCCTCCTTCCTTCCCTCCCTCCCTCTTTCAAGACCCATTAATTTCACATTTGCCAAGAATCACCCAAGGGAAGGGTGAAGGCTTCCGCTCGCGTTCTGAGAATTGACGTGCACCTCGTCCATTCCCCTTTCTTGGACCTGAGGCTGCACAACGATATGGAAGGACGCGGGCCAAGCGTTCACACGTGGGGAGCGGGAGAGAGAAGCCCTTAGCCCCCAGGGCACTGTTTTCCTTGTCTGTGAATTGCACAAACTTGACGGTTTTAAACGCCATTCCTGCCCCTCCCCGCCGATGGGCTACAGGGCGCAGAACCCCGAGATAATGGTGACGTTCGAATGCCCTCCCCTCCGTTTTTTAAGGGAGCGTGAATGGAACTTTCAAAGAAAGCCAGCCAGCAGAGCGCTTTGTTGTGCTAAACTAGTTGGACGAGTTAGGGTGTCGCTGCTCCTGATTGCTCTGGCCAATGGAACCCGATCCACCCCGCTGTGCGTAAGAGCGCAATTAAGGATTTAACCAAGCCTCTACGCTCCCTGCTAGCAGTCTGCCAGAGCTATAACC